TCATCACATCCGAGTTAAATTCATCAGTAAACTGATAGTCAGGTATAAAAGTCTCCTGAGGTTATGAAGAGCAAATAAAAAGGTGAACTAGCAAAAAAACATGTTATGCAAATGCAAATAAAACAGAAATATCACATTTTTTAAATGTGTTTCTGTGTATTTAATGGCATTTTTTTTTTTTTAAATTAAGCCAGTTTTATTTATTTGTTTATTTAAACATTTCTAATTTTGGCAGTTTAGGCCCTCCATAGGACAAGGGGAAAGTGAAGGACACAAGGTGTCAGAGAGGCAGATCCTTCAAAATGACATGTATACATGTACTAGGAACTCATGGGACTCCAGATAAAAACAGGGAAGGGGTAAGACGGGGGGTAGCAGACACTTCAGGAACACATACAGTAGCTACCTTTCTTTTTTATAGTTCGTCCAGCTAAAACAAGAAGCATGGGCACCAGTTACAGAGCAGCAAAAGCCAGCGTGTACAGTACAGTACAGTATGAGGAAGCTTGCAGAATCAGCCATTACAATCACATATGAGGCTGCTTAAGAATTACGCAGAGAAAATGAAATAGCAGCAGCTCCGTGTGAGGAAAAGGAGCTAATTTATGTGGCTATCAAACAGGCAGCAGTGTGAAGCAGTGACAGGCAGTGATAGGAAATACTTTGTCTCCTTTTCTCTTTTTTTTTGGTAGTGAGCACTTACTGTCAGTTCCTGAGCAGTCACTGGCTGACTCAATCTTCTCCCTGGAAGAGGCAAGTGTTAAAGTACTTACAGCCAGAACACACTATCGACTGAGCTACTGAGAAGCTATTGATATATGGTGGAAAATGTGTGAATGTAGTGTGCGTGCTGCCGTAGTCGGGATATTTCCCTCGCTCCTTCACTATTCCCTACATGATCTACCGTAGTGGGAAGATTGCTGTTTAACATAAATTTACATTTTTTCTTCCTCAGCTGAAGCAAAACACATATGAATTTTAAAGCTTTTTCCACATCATAACAACCAGAAAAAAGGCGGAAAACCAACAGAGATGATAAGGCCTGCAGTTATTTATTAAATATATGCATTTATTAAAAGGTTTCCCTGGTGTTTGGATGTTAAAATGAACACCCACAAGAGTGACTCAAAAGAAATGTGGGAGGTTCAGGACAGGAATCCTGGCTGCTACAAACTAAAAGCATCAGTAGGGCTTCTCGCCTTTAACCTTACAGCCAGCAGCTTCATTTTCTATAATATGACATTGCAATAAAGTGCACAACACAGAATCAAAACAGTTTCTCTTCAGTTTCATAAACAGTACTTGGATTGTAACCTGCCCTTCTTCTATTTTCCCACAGTGTTTAAATTTGTCTTATGTTTTAATGATGTTGGGGTACAGCAAATCTGAGGCTTCCAAATGCTATCCTGCTGAGTCTCTAATGCCTCCCACAAACACACACACACACACCAAGAAACACATAACCAAAAAACAGCATCTGTCAGCATGTCTCTGGCTCCAGTAATACCAAATATATCCATCCGATCTCATCTGTTAATACAAAATCCCTGAAAGACAAATTAAAGGACTTAATTAAGGATGCTCGGCTCCAACGTTT